CTCTATTAAAAAAAATTAAAAAAAAAAATTAAAAAAAAAAAAAAAAGTATGAACAGCCAAGGAGTTGCCATGTGCCCAAAGGACAGAAGGGAGCCAACCCTGTCCACAGGCGCTAGCCCTATGCCAGCAGCGGCCACTGAGCCCGAGCACAGACCCTGGGAGGTCAGGGCAGGCACCTGCCTGGTCATGTGCCTGAGTGGGCGCTTCACTGACCACGGCTGGCTCCCACAGCCGGCAGGCTGCCCGCAAGCTGAGGCCTGCTTTACCACTGATGACATGAAGGGTCCAGAGGTCATGAGCCTCTGCTGAGGGAGGTTTGACGACTGGTCTGCTCTTCTCCAGCGGCGCGTCACCTCCCTAAGTGCCCCTGCAACCGGGCGGGAGCCTCCCAAGGCCGGGAACTCCAAATAACTGCCACAGGAGTCCCAGGCTGCAGCGGAACCTTGAACAAGAAACGACTGGTAAAAGGGGCGGGGAAAGTAGGTCATGATGTTGGTAATCAAAGACTGGAAGCCCCAGGCCATCTTCACCAGCCCTTGCCTGCCTGGCTGGTTAATTTGATGAATTTCCAATGCTAAAAATAGCCCTTTTGTACCGAGTGCCCTGGGCTTGTCCCAAATATTTGTCACCTGATTTTATATCCACCCTTTTCACACAGAAATTAACATTTAAAAAAAAAAAAAAAGGTGGCTTGCAGCCGCAGTGGTCTGAGAGCCCCAGCTGAAACCTTCCCTCCCTCAGGAAGGCTGAGGTCCTCTTCTCCCAGAACTCTCCACTTGTCCCTGGGACTCAGCACAAGTGGAATGGAGACAGCGACCTCCGAGCACCTGCCCACGCCGCCTCTGGAAGCAGACTCCTTAGGACAGCCGGAACCCTGGGGGGCGCAGCGCTCAGCCTTCTACTGAAGAGAACACGAGCTGGACCCACTGCACCCCCACTCCCAGCCACTTCCTTCTAAGAGACAATCTCATCAGAGAGCCTGCATCCCCCCAACTAAGAGGTAACTCCCCATCCATACCACGTCTCCCTTTTCTTCTAATCTGCCACGCACACATATACACCCCCAACATCTGAACCCCTAACTTCCTGTATCTCTCCCCAGTACTTATGCCATGAAACAAGTGTGGTTACCATGGGTTCGAAGAACTTTTGACTCATTCTGTTCAAGTGTGAGTGCTGCATTCCTTGGGGTGGGGGGGCTGGGGGGAGGGGGCAGGTGGTGGGAACACAGGAAAGTGAGTAGACTCCCTTGCTTCTTGGGGAGGAGGCGACTCTACTAGCAGAGAAAAATGATGCTAATTTATGACTAAGGATTTAAATTTCCCTCAGCTTTATGGTCAATACCAGATTCACTTAGAAAAATAAACCACTTAACCTCAGGAAAAGTGGACTAAGACCTAACAAAGGTAATGGAAAATGTCATATAAATGGTACTAGCTTTGTAGACAAGAAGCTCCAAATGTAATGCATGCATCGGCGGGGGTGCTGGGGATGAAGCATCACTCTAAGAACTGAGGTTTTGGATTCCACAACCAAAAAAAAGAGTACCATAGTCTGGGGCCTCCCTGGTGGTGCAAGGAGTTATCCTCAGCCACTGCAGCCCGAGTTCAATCCCTGGCCAGGGAGCTGACCCACATGGCGCAGCAGAACTCTCCTGTCTCCCACTGCTCACCTCAGCAGTGGATCTCAGTAGATCCGCCTGTTCTGCTCCCCACTCTTTCTGGTGAATCCTCTCACTCCTCTGCACCTCTGGCCTATACCCCAGTTCTTCTATGCATAACTAAATCAATCTTTAAAAAAAAAAAAAGGAACACTATAGTCTGAATGATTAAGGAAACAGAGACACACCTATATGCTTTCACTTAACTTGTATTGTCCCAATGAGGGATAACTAATTTGGGTATACAAACATGAAGCTTCATCACTTTTCTAAATATTTTATTGGAAACCTGGCTCTGGTCTGAATTGGAATGGCCCTACCACCCAAACCTACAGGGGCTTGCAGCTTAACCCAAGGTAGGCATCCCTATCTTGAGCTGCTGCACCATTATGATCCTGCAAGATGGCCGTGAGCGGTGTCCTCAACCGCAGACTACATGGCCTGTCTGGCTTAATTCTTCGTGCCGCAACCAAGGCAGAGCACTAGTGCAAGTTCAAGGAACTAGATGCCAGTGGCCACAGCAATTTCTAGAGGCGGCCAAATTAGTTTGTGGTAAGCATGAGTTCATTGCTTGTATTGCTCCCAATCTGTCACAAGGAGAAATGTGGTAGGTTGAGAGTTAACGGTTAATCTTCCTGTAATCAATAAAAGACACGCTGAGAAAAAGCAGGGGGAGAGGGGCCAGCCATCTCTGAGCTCACCTCCTTTATTCCTCTTCCTGCTGTCTCCCTCTGCAGAGTCCCTTCCAAAGCCACACGCTCTTAAAACTAAGTTTGCGTCCTTAATGGAGGTGTCAGGAGAGGAGACCTTAGAAAGTAAGGGAGGTGAGGTGAGGAGGCATCAACAAATCTCCTCACCTCTGCCCTGCTGCTGTCCTGACCGCGAGGCCAAAGGGGACATTCCTTGCGGGTATTTGTCATCACATCTTCTCAGCCATCAGTGAGCTCTGGCTTCTCAGATTCTGGAAACCCTTGCACAACTCTCATTCATCCCATGTTCTACTTTCTTCTGTAGCTGTTGACCTTCAAGTCCACGACAGACTGGTTTTACACAAAGTTGGAGCTTTTGAGATACTTGAAATGACCGTGCACCATCACACAGAATTCTTTTCTGTCACGGTGCTTTTGACTTCTTTTTTTCATGAACCAGAAAGGCAACAGTCAGTCCATACACAGGCTCTGAACTCAGGGCAGACTGGGCCTGGGCCCTGGTGGTTGGAAGGGCAAAAGCAGGCAGACACTGGTGAGACCCCAGTTTATCTGAGTGACGCTTGTCCTCTGCCTGGTTGTCAAGCCCAAAGGACTCTAGAACTTCAGAGGGAACCCTCACTGGCCCAATTCACTGTGCCCCAACAAATCAGGAAACGGGGCCCACCCTGCCGCGGAGGCCAGCTGCAATGGGACGTGTCCTAAAGGGCTGTTCACCTTCAGCAGCTAGTGCAGGCTAGAACCACTCCTCCAGACTATCTCCCGCACAGAAAACCCAGGGCCTGACGGGTCACCTGCTCTGTGAGTTTGAAGGCTATTTAGGGAGCAGGTGTTAGGATGGCTCTTAGGAGCATCTTAGCGCTTTCTCACACCTACCACCCTCTCTGGCAGTTTTAAACCCCTTCTCCTTTCTCCACTAGGTTGTGAATGTCTCCAGACCTGTGACTCAGAAGCTGCTAAGCTGCCTAATTGGGTACTTCCCCCATTTCTCCTGTATCTCTGGGGAAGTATCAAGCACTTGCAAAGGCATTTTCCCATCATTACTAGAGTGGGGAAAGTGGAAATTAATTAAGCCACAAAAAACCTCTCCCACAACTGGTTTTCACTTATGAAATATTTATGCAGAATTTATAAAGCTATGAAGCCAGAAACGACTTATTTTAACAGAGTCGACTCCGCCAAGCTGTGTGGGTGCAGGACTCCGAGGGGAATTACTCAGGTCTTTAAAACTCAGACTTGCAGAGAAATTGATCTCAGTTTTTACTCCTTACACGAATAGTCTCAAAAGTCAAGTCCAATGACATTCGGAAATAAGGAGGGCCTTGGATGATAATTTTGGATCGGAACGCAGACCCTTCGCTCCGATGTCGGACGCCCGCTGGCCAGGCCGGGGCTGCACGCGGCTCAGCACCAGCCGGGCGTGGGGGGCGAGCGACAAGGCGGGGTACACCCAGCCCGGATCCCAAGGGCAGTAAATCGACCCAGCGGCACAAGACACGGCTTTTCTCAAGTTTTCAGCTTTTAATGATTTTCTTAAAAAACCGGGGCGTGTTTCCTCCTATTGCTTTAAGCCAACAGTCGGGTGGAACACAAGGGGGGCCGGGCGAGAGCCCCCCGCGGCAGCCTAGGGAGCGCCGCGGGCAGGCCGGGCCCGGGCCACGCCGGCCGCCCGGCGCAGGCAGCCGGGAACGGCGCCCCCGTCCCCCGCGAGCCACACGCTCCGGCGGGGCGCCCGCGGGGAGACAGGCGGGTGGAGGCGGGGCCGGGGGCCGGGGCGCCCGGGAGCGGGGCGGGCCGGCGAGGGCCGCCGGGCCGGGCGGTTCCACGCTCGACGGGGCGCCGGGCCAACGGGTAACGGACGTCCTGCCAACGGCGGCCCCGGGGCTCCGCGCGGCGCTCCGCCCGGCCGGCCGCCCCGCGCGCCCCCGCGCTCGGCCCGGGCGGAGCGCGCGCCCCGGCGCCCCCGGCGCCCCGCGGGCACCCTCCGCCGCCGCCCGCGGCCGCCCGGGCCGGGGCCTGCACACTCACCCGCCGCCGACGCCCGCCCGACGCGACAAAGGAGGCACAGGCGCTTCTCGTCAGAGCAGATTTTATTGGGGTGCGGGCCGGCCGCCCCGCGCGCCCCCCGCGGCCCCGGGGACGGCTCGCGCCGCCCGCCGGCTCCCGAGGCAGCGGCGGCAGCCGGCGGCGGGGTCGGCGGCGGCCCGCGGAGGGCGGGAGCCGCACGAGTCGCGGCGGCCGCGGCGGCGACGGCGGCGCGCTGACGTCACGCGCCGCCGGCCAGGCCGCGCGCGCGGGGGGCCGTCCCGCCCGGCCAACCCCGGCGGCGCCCGGGCGGGGGGCGGGGCCCGGCCGGCGAGCGGGCCGGCCGATTGGCCGGGGAGGCGGGGCGAGCGGCCCGGCCGGCGAGTGGGCGCGGGCGGGGCGGGGCGCCGCCCGCGCGGAAGTCTCGCGAGGCCCGGCCCGAGCGGAGTGTGGCGGCGGCGGCGGCGGCGAGATCTGGGCTCGGGCTGAGGAGTTGGTATTTGTGTGGAAGGAGGCGGAGGCGCAGGAGGAAGGGGGACGCGGAGCGCCGGCCCGGAGGGCGGGAGGAGGCGCGGCCACAGCGGGCGGCGAGGCCGGCGCGGCGCCGGGGCGAGCAGCGGCCGAGCGAGCGCGGGGCGCACCGAGGCGAGGAGGCGGGGAAGCCCGCCGCCGCCGCCGCCGCGCCCGCCCCTTCCCCCAGCCGCCCGCCCTCTCCCCCGCCCGCCGCCCGCCCGCCCGCCCGCCCGCCGCCTTCCTCCTCGCGGCTCCCCACGGCCGGCCGCCGCCTCGCCCGCCCGCGCGCCGCCCCGGAGCCGAGGCCGCCGCGGCCGCCGCGGCCGAGCCCCCAGCCATGGCCTCGGGCGACACCCTCTACATCGCCACGGACGGCTCGGAGATGCCGGCCGAGATCGTGGAGCTGCACGAGATCGAGGTGGAGACCATCCCGGTGGAGACCATCGAGACCACGGTGGTGGGCGAGGAGGAGGACGACGACGACGACGACGAGGACGGCGGCGGCGGCGACCACGGCGGCGGGGGCGGCCACGGGCACGCCGGGCACCACCACCACCACCACCACCCGCCCATGATCGCGCTGCAGCCGCTCGTCACCGACGACCCGACCCAGGTGCACCACCACCAGGAGGTGATCCTGGTGCAGACGCGCGAGGAGGTGGTGGGCGGCGACGACTCGGACGGGCTGCGCGCCGAGGACGGCTTCGAGGACCAGATCCTGATCCCGGTGCCCGCGCCGGCCGGCGGCGACGACGACTACATCGAGCAGACGCTGGTCACCGTGGCGGCGGCCGGCAAGAGCGGCGGCGGCGGCTCGTCGTCGTCGGGCGGCGGCCGCGTCAAGAAGGGCGGCGGCAAGAAGAGCGGCAAGAAGGGCTACCTCGGCGGCGGCGCCGGGGCGGCGGGCGGCGGCGCGGACGCGGGCAACAAGAAGTGGGAGCAGAAGCAGGTGCAGATCAAGACCCTGGAGGGCGAGTTCTCGGTCACCATGTGGTCCTCAGGTGAGCGGCGGCGCGCGCCGGCCCCCGGGATGTTTTTGTTTTGAAGGGAAGCCATGTTTTATGTGTGCGATGGGCGCCGCCATCTTCTTCGCGGGGCAAGTATGGCGGCCCCAAAAGATGGCGGCGGCGGCGGGGGCGGCGGGCGGCGGCGGGCGCGGCGGGCGAAGATGGCGGCGCAGGGCGCGGCGCCGCCCGCTAGGCCGCAATGGCGTAGTTTCCCCGGGCGGGGCGCGCGGCGCGGCGCGGCGGGGCGGGGCGCGCTCGGGCCAACGGACGCGCCGCCGGCCCGTTGTGCGCGGGCCCCCTGCGGCCGGCCGGGCGCGGGGCGCGGGGGGGCGTTGGCGGGGCCGCGCCGACCTCCCCGCGCCCGCCGCCGCCGCCTTTCCCCCGCCGGCCGCTGGGGGCGCCGCGGCGCCCGCCCCGCCCCGCCCCCGGCCCTCCCCGGCCCTCCCCGGCCCGCCGCGGCGCCCGGGGCCGCCTCCGAGGGGCGGGCGCGAGCCCGGGCTCTGGGCCCCGGGTCCCGGGTCCTGCGCGCGGCCGCGGCGCCCCCGGCCCTGGCGCCTCGGAAGTTCTCCCGCCGCCGGGCCTGGCCCGCGGCCACCGAACAAAACCGACGCTTCCGTTTCGAGCCCCCGCCGGCGCCCTGCGGGCCGAGGCCGCCCCCGCGGGAGATGCCGGGAGCGCCGCCGGCCGTGACCGCCGCGCGGGGCCGGGGAGGCCGGTCCGCGCGCCCCCTGGCCCCGGCCGCGGGGCGGGAGGAGACGCAGCCCCGCGAGCCCGCGCTGGCGGCGCCCGGCGCCGGGGTGCTGGGGCCCTCCCCGCGGTTTCCTCTGTTCGTCAATTTCAGAATAAATGGAGCCGCCGAGCGGGGCCCGCCTGGGGGTCTTGGAGGACGGTTAGTGCTTGGAGGCGCCGAAGGGCAGGCGGGAGGTCTGGGTCGCGGAGCTGGGGGGTGTCTCACCCGAGGGCCGAGCTGCGAGAACCAGCGCTGCTGCCCGGATCCGTGACTCAGGGCCCAGCGAGGGAGCGGGGAGTCGCTGCCAGCATCTCCCCGCGAGCGCTGACGGGCGCGCCGGTCGTCCTGGCCCGGGAGCGCCCTGCGGAGCTCGGTCGCCGGAGTCGAGCGGCGGCTCCGTGTGTCTGAGGGAGACGGGGCTGCGCCCGCGCTCGGGGACGGCGAGGAGAGCGGGCCCGGCCCGCCGCGGCTCGGAAGGTGGGCGCGCCGGTCGAGCTTCCCGTCAAGATGAGTGAAATACGGAGGGGGCTTTGGTCATTGGGAGTTTGCTGAGTTTAGGACAGTGCTGCTGAGGTTAGACATCTAGGTGAAGGTGAAGATTTGGGGTAACACTCCATTAGCTACATAAAAAACTACACTTTTTGTTACGTTGTAGTTAGGCGGGCTTTGTAGCGATCACAAAATCCCATATTTTAAGTATTCTGCATCTGATGTTACCAAATTGCTAAACCCGCTTGTCCATACCCAGAAAACTAGGTAGTGTATATAGCTTTACTGGATGAGGTGACATGTACCAAGCCAGCCAGTCAGGGAGCAAAGCCTGACTAATGGAAGTTAATTTACAATTAATTAAGTCAGCATTTAAAAGTCATTACTTCCCCTGTGCAGTCGGCTGGTCACACAGTTTGGGGTTATTTTAAAGTCCGTTTCTTGAAAGAGTTAATTGTCTGCTGACCTGTTTGAGTACTCAGTGCATGCAAGTGATTATAAATATTTAATGGCAATTTGAAGAAAGAGGCTTCTTTTTTCAGACTTGGTTTTGTGGTAAATTATCCCCCTTTCTTGTCCTGGTGGTTTGGAATCATTACCAAAGAAAAGCCAAATAAGTTGTGATTAACTGTGTGCACCAAGTTCAAATTCTGAGTGTGGTCTTCAGTACTGAAGTAAGGGGATAGTTGATAACAGGTGAAATCAAAGCAGGTTAATGGTTGAGCAGTGTGTGTGCACTTGTCCGGTGTGTCGTGGGGAGTGTGTTCTCTGCTTTCACACACTCCTCTCCTTTGATCCTAGGCACAAGAGTGTTGCCCCCACTGTAGTTTCGCTGAAGCAGAGCTGTGGATTGGAATGAGCTGCGAGGAGTTTTCTCTTAGTCCAGGATTAGTTACCTCAAGTCCTTAACATAATTGTACACAGAGTTACTTGTTATGTTAGTACCTGTTGGTTTAAAAACAGTGCCTAGTGGAAGCTAGCATGTTTGAGGAGAACAAATATTTAGATTTTGCTTGCAGAAAGTCTGTTTCCTAGAGTAAGAGCATTGAGTGTGATTGGTGCCTTTGCGGTGGAGCAGCAGGAAGGAATCTGGTTGTCTGTAGTAGCAGTTACAGACCAGAAAGGGTCCTAAGAGATCAGCTTTTTTAAAAGTAACATTAATATTTCACCTGTGCACAGTTCACTGGTTTCTACTCTTGTCAGATTCTGCCACTATTATACCGCTATCCTAATTGCAGAACAGTTGTCACCCCCAGAAAGAAACCCTGTACTTGTTAGCAGTCACTTTCTATTTCTACTCCCCACGACCCCTGGCAACCACCAGTAAATACACTTACTGCCACTCAATTCACCTGTTTTAGACACCTCATTTAAATGGAATTATGGAATATATGGTCTTTTGTGTCTGGCTTACATGTTTTCAAGGCTCACCCATTTGTAGAATATACTTTTTATGGTTGAATATTTTCTTATAGAGATAATAGAGCAGGACCTGCTTGTCTTTACAGTTGAGGAAGTTAGGGCCTAATTTGTCTCAATATAGTCACAGTTCAACTGTTATGAATATTACCAACTTATTGCTTTAAGGCTTATGTTGATTTTAGATTTTTTTCTGGGGTGTTACTAATGAACACTGCAATTTTTTTTAAAGATTTGTTTATGCATACAAGAACTGGGGTACCATCCAAGGGTGCGGGGGGGGGGCAAATAAGAACAGGCAGACTGACTGAAATACACTGCTGAGGGGGGCAGCGGGTGAGAAAGGAGAGGTCTGCTGCACCATGTGGGTAGCTCCCTGGACGGCCAGGATTGAACTCACACTGCAGAGGCTGTGGTCAGCTTCACGGTGCTATGCTTAACCCCTTGCACCACCAGGGAGGCCCGAAAACGTCAATGTTAAGGAGAGTTAGATCACAGTATTTTTTATTTCTCTCCTAGATGTTCATCACTGTTGTGCAGGGACAATAATCTTATTTTATAGAAATTATAAACTAAACCACTGAATTAAACCGCTGTGTTGAGCAGGAAGGCTGGTGATAAAAGCTGAGCATTTAGTTGTGTGGGTTTTTTTTTTGTTTGTTTGTTCTTTGTTTTTAGATTTATTTATTTATTCATTCATTTATTTATTTATACAAGCACTGGGTACAGTCAGAAGCACGGGAGGGCGAGAGAATTCACTAGAGACAGCAGGCAGACTGATGAAGTACACTGCTGAGGGGAGCAGCAGGCGGCAGGAGAGGTCTGCGCGCCATGTGGGACCCTCACCTAGTGGCCTGGGCTCGAACCAGCGCTGCAGAGGCTACGGGCAGCTTCGCAACCCAGCGCTCAACCGCTGTGCCACCGGGGAGGCCCAGTTGTTTTTTTTCAAAGATTTATTTATGCATACAAGAACTGGGTTACAGGCCAGAGGTGTCCAGGGGGTGGGGAAGAGGATTCCCCAGAAACAGAGTGGGAAACAGAACCAGCGATGGACTGAAACACACTGCTGAGGGGAGCAGCAGGGACACGGGAGAGGTCTGCTGCGCCGTGTGGGTCACCTCCCTGGCTGGGGATCCAACTCGTGCTGCAGAGGTTGCTGATAGCTTCATAGTGCTGAGACTTACCCCCTTGTGCCACCAGGGCAGCCCCCCAAACATTTAGAAGGCTTTTGAAATCTTCAGGTTTGAGATAGTTTGAAAGTTTGACCTTCCTAAAAGGCTGCAGATGTCTTCTGTTGGCAGATGTGTTATGCTGGATTGAGCAGAACCTCTTAAGATCACAAAGCCATTGATCATAGAGTCAGTAAAGTGAAAGAAAGCTGAAACAAACGTGTTACGTTTCCCCTCAATTTTATGTATTCAGAAAGTTCAGGTTTGTTAAGAATGACTAGTCCTGACCTTCTGCCAGTCCTCTGCAGGTGTCCAGCTCCTCCTCTTGTGCTGGCTATTGATCACCAAGTAGACATGCCAGAAAAAGTCCCATGGATCCCTGCCAGCGAAGCCTTCCAGAGTGACTGGGCGGCCTCAGGCCCATCCTGACTCTCAGGGCAGCTCAGGCCTCCTCTTCTCCCCTCCAGGTCATAGCAGTCTCCTCCCGGCTCTCACCAGTAACAGCCCACTCCCCCGGGGGGGGAAGAGGAAAACCCCTGCCAGGAAAGGGCCAGGGCTGCTGCTACACCTGCGGAAGTATAGAAACTTGGAAGAAAGAAAATGAATTAATAAATAAGTCAGACTCCTAGGTGGGTAGATACAAAAGGCCTTTCTGTTCATTTTCTTTCCTTTTTTTAATATTTATTTATTTATTTATTTTGTAGAAGAGCTGGGGTGCAGGCCAGAGGAGCGGGGGTGAGAGGATTCATCAGACAGAGTGGGGAGTAGAACAGGCAGATCTACTGAAATTACTGCTGAGGGGAGCAGCGGGCGAGACAGGAGAGGTCTGCTGCGCCATGTGGGTCAGCTACCTGGCTGAGGGTCCAACTCAGGCAGTGATAGCCATGAGATTTAGCTCCCAAGCCACCAGGGAGGCTGACTGTTTATTTTCTTGGTTTTCAAAGTCTGCTTAGTAAAGTTAGTTTGTTGTAAGACTAGGCGATTCAGAAGCCATAGGAGATTATGAACAAAATAATTTGTTAGAATGAGCAGTGCTGAAGATTCATTTCATCACTACTAGCAGAATATTAGGATGTGGGAGGTCTTGGAAATGATTGGACTCCCTGGTTTGAGTTCATGCCTTGGTGTGCGTGGTGGACTTTTATCACAGCATAGGAGAGGAACCATTCCCTCGACCTGAGCTTCTT